AGATACGGTATATGCACCAAGTGGGAAGATGGGTTGATCTGTATCTTCATGCAGTATAATACAGTTCTCTTTGAGTTCACCTATTTGGTTTAGTCTGGGTTTCTTCAGAGGCAGTATAAATATTTAGGGAAAAAATAGTTATTCTCCTGTATAGAGGTATTCTTATTTAATTCTGACTCTGAAAACCAAGACTAGTAAGTAAAATAATTCTGACTGTTCTTCATGTTTAGAGCTCTCATTGACCCAGTCTGACCCATTTCTGACTGTCCTTCATGTTTAGAGCTCTCATTGAAACCAATGGAAGTGCTATCCAAGAAGGCTTGTAAGATGGAGCTCTGTTATGAATTCCAAGTATGCCATGACAACAAATACTTTGAATAATAAGAGTAACAAAAGGGTTGAAGGGAGGACAGGGGTGACAAAGGTGGCTGTCATGGCTGCTGTTGCCAAAAAATAAGATAGACAATGTCATGTATGTAATTTTTTAAAATACTCAAGTTTGTTTACAGATGGCATTGTCTGTACAAGGCTGAAGCAGGTGGTGAAGAAAAGTGCATGGAACATAGTTAAGGAGTTGGGTTAACCCTGCAGTACAAATGGATGCACTAACAGAAACACTGCAGAGTAATCAGAGCAGTCTGGGGTCTCTACAGATAAGATAAACTGGTGGCATCAGAGGGTAAAGTGACAAGAGACTGCAAAAACATGTCTGTGGCTTTGCTCTTGGTAAGGAGACTCTGGGAGCAGGAGCCTGTGAACTGCTGCTCCACACTGATCCTGATGCATGTAAGGTGGTCATACACTGAACTCTTCTGTTTCAGGGTGCTGGAATAGCTTTTGTTTAGGAAGGGTAGGCTACTAATCCTGTAGTTGCTTTATGTGGCTGCCTCTGCTGATTTTGTTGCTTAATTATGTTAAGTACCTTCCTGGGTGAAAATTGCCATTCATGATCTTTAAAATGAGGTTATTTTGAAGTTGTGAGCTGATTATTGATTTAAAAAAACAAAAAAGACTTTGTTTTAAAAACAAGAACCTGTATAGGCTAGAACCATTTTGTTCTGTCACTCCATGACCCAACCATGAAAAATGCCTTACAAAAGGTTTTCCTGCAGTTTAAAGTTGGGGAAAGTAAGTAACAAATAGGTTGACTAACTGACCTAAATCCATGACAATGGGCCACTGGCAAAGCCACTAGAACCTGTATGTCGTGGCCCCTGATGCAATGCCCCATCCACACAAAATCCATGAGACTGCTTGGAAATGCATTGTATTTAACGCTTTTCTGGCAAGGCAAACTCCAAAAGCCTTTTGAAGAGGCTTCTAATTTAAATGAACTGTTCTGCAACTCTAGGTATTAATAAGTATTGTAGGATCTTCAGATTTGTACCTGTTTATTCAGGAAAATTATTTTAGGGACCTATTTGGAAGGTTTGTGAAAAGGTCTTCAGAGCATTACTAATAGTTGATTTGTCACGTGTATTCATACAGGTTTGTGAAATAAAAAACTGCAACAAGTGTATCTTTTTTGAAGCCAAAAAGAAACAGGATCTTTATATGTGGTAAGAGAATACATTATACTTTATTAAATATCTTGGTATCGTTTCCATAGCTCATGTTTTAACTTAAGTAATAGTGAAATTCAAAGATGCAGAAAAAACTAACTTTCTCCATGAACGACCCATATTAAGGGTATCTGCAGTAAAAATTAATTGAACTTGCTGTAAGTGTGGAAGTGCACAGTAGCAAAATGACTCCTTTAACCTTTGTTTGGTACTTCTTAAAATGAAAATAAATGTTTCACAATTACGTTTGCCTATATACTGATTTCAAAGGTAGATATAATTTTTAATTTATCTGAAGGTGCCAAAGAATTTCCAGGTTACCTTACTGGATGTCCGTAGAATTTTAAGCTCCGCTTCCCATAGCTGTCAGGATCTTTAATATTATATGGGAACAGAGCCTATAGTTTTAGGTTTGTTTATCATTTTAAAAAGCAAGTGTACTTCAAATGCTTTCTGTTAAGTCTCATCATTTTAAGGTCTACTGACCACAGCTCTCGCAATTTTGAAGAAAAATATCTCAAATGAGCTGACTGGCAGTTTCAAAACACGTAAAACCATTTAGGTAAATTTTTGAATGAGAAGTATTATGGAATTATGAAGTGTGTTTCTTGCTACAATGCTGTTAGCTGACTTTTCTTTTTACAGGCTTTCAAATACACCCCAAGGACCGTCAGCCAAATTCTTGGTGCAGAATAGTAAGTCAAGGTTTCAGGCTATTGCTTTTATATATGTTCCCCCACTCCAATCTTTTTTTACTGAACACTTAACCTGTTCCAAATCATTGTAGTTCACACACTCGCAGAGCTGAAGATGACTGGAAATTGTTTGAGAGGTTCGCGGCCTCTTTTGTCTTTTGATCAGGCAAGTATAATGTTTCAGATTTGCTTGACTTTTTTTTTTTTCCCCTTGTTCTCTGTACCACTGCTGCTTTTTGTTTGTTTTTGTGTGTAAAACTGTATTTTTCCTCTTACAGGCATTTGATCAGGAACCACACTATGCTTTGTTAAAAGAGTTGTTTATCCAGGTTGGTACTAGGTATTTCTTGCTTCTTACAAACCATCTTTCTACTAACATTTCAGTTTTTTTAAACGCTGAAGATTACACTAGTGTATTTTTACTTGGGCTACAATGCCACAAAGACTTATTTTCACAATGTCACTGGGGCTATTTGTGCCTTAACTACCATATATTTAAGCCTATAAGGTTGAGAACATGCAACACTAGATTTAAGATGAATGCAAAGATAAACTTAATAATTTGGCATCTTGATAACTTCAGCTCTTTTTGTCTTTTTTTTACAGATCTTCAGTATACCACAGTATCATCCTAAAAGCCAACCTTTTATAGATCATGTATTCACATTTTCCATCACAGACGACAGGATCTGGTTCCGGAACTATCAGGTTAGTTGTCTCCCTTAATTCTTTAAATTGCACTAACCTCATGCCTTCAGAATCATTCAGTGATTTCATATGAATTGAAAGCGTAAACTAAATTACCAGGATGGGTTTATATCCAATGCTCACATGAGTATCATAAGAGTATTTTTATAGTGGATTAAAAATGCCTTTTCATTGTAGATGAGCTTTCAGCTCTAGTTTCTATAAAACAGACTTATTTTGTAGGTGTAGGCTTAAGATAATTTGTTATTAAACTGAATATGACGGTAAATGGAAGTACCCCCTTCTCCTTTACTTAACTCCTCATTCTCTTAGTTTGCTTTCTAAAACTGCTGTATACTAGTAGTTAAAGCCCAAGCTTATGCTTGTATATTAATGTTTGTGGATCAGAGCACATAAATTAGACTCTTTTTCCAAGGGGCCACTAGTAATTCTGCTTCAGTTTAGTGTGTAAAGGTGCGTTTTGTATATAAGTAATTGTTATGCGTAATCATAGTTGAACAGGCCTAACCTTAAAAAAAATTGGTTCTGTTAAATATCGGGTTCAGACACTATTGTGAATCTTTACGTATACCTATACATGTTACTCTTGATTGAGAAGTCCAACACAGGGCAGTCAAAGATGGCTGACTGTCTTTGCATTTTCATTACAGATTGTAGAAGAAGATGCCTCCCTTATAGAAATTGGACCTCGCTTCGTCTTAAATCTTATTAAGATTTTCCAGGGCAGCTTTGGAGGACCAACTCTGTATGAAAACCCCCATTACCAGTCTCCAAACATGGTAAGCTGATTTGTCTTTGCCTGTGCTTGAATTTAACAAGCTATTCCAGCCCTGATCTGCAAGCTGTTTGCATGAGTGGACTGCTGTGTTTACAGGGTAGGAACATTTTTGAGGTGATGTGGCAGAAATAATTACTAGTATATCAAGTGAGTGGTCATAAATTAGTAACACTGAGTTGTTTAATATCAATGAGAAGGTGAGAGTAGACTGAGAAATTTGGCCACTGAACAGTAAGTAATCTTTGGGTCCCTCTTTCTAAATTTGGAGGTTCTTCTGCCTGCATTTACATTATAAAATGTTTGGTGTAAATTCCAAATGTTAGTGTGAATTTTTTCCATCGCCTTGCTTTTCGCCACACCTGCATTAATTTTCCTTAATTTTTATAGCATCGGCGGATGATAAGATTGGCTATAGCTGCTAAATTTAAAGAAAAACATCAAATGAAAGAACTTCAAAAGATCAAGAATAAAGAAGACAAGACACTTATTCCAGAAGATCCTACTGAGACTGTCTTTGAAACACCAGCTGGAGAAAAGCCCTTGGAGATAGAGTTGGTTAAACCAGAGCCAAAAGTCAATTTAAAGAAGAGAAAGAAACAATTTCAACGTCAAAGGAAGAAGCAAAAAAAGCTTTCCGGAGTGGGAGCATAACAGTTACAGATTTAAATTAGATCACCTCTCAGCCTTGTATACTTGTGTTTAGCTATATTTTATAGCTGCCTTGCATATACTAATGTAAATATCTTTTTAAGTCGGTGCCTGTGTGCCATCAATTTTGAGTAAATGGAAAAAAATCAGATGTGGAGTTGTGATCTGAGGCAGGTTGTATATACCTGTAGGACTCATTTTAAATACATTTTTTTTTTTGTTGTTTTCATTTCTCTTTGATTTAAATAGCTTTTTCACGCCATGCCTCTTACATGGGAATCATTTTAAGAACCATCTGACCTGCTTCCTGGGGTTGGAGAGGGATAAATACAGCAATAAAAATTTTCTAGCACTTTCTATTAGTCACAAGTCACAGTCAGATTTCTGCTGCGCCAGACCAAGGAAGCAATGTCCATTTTTTCTTGAAGATTGAATTCGCTTTTTATATAGAGGCTTTCTTAGTTCTTTTGGGTCATGTATCTCAGCCCTTAGAAAATAGGGTGGACTGTGATATCTTCGTCACAATATTTTACCCCTGTATGATCTGTACTATATCTGCTCACAGGTAAGAAGAGCAAGCCCTGCATGGTCCCTAGTGCTCCTGGAAACATGACACTTCCTCATGTTATGGAGGTATCTTAAGATGACGTATAAAGGCCCCCATTACATTAATTTAAAATTGACACAGTTGATAGTTAACTGTGTTTGGGCTGGAATTGCAGTTGAAAATTTCTTTTTGGGTCACTAAAGAACACATCTCTGTCATTGGGGGATTATCTTAAAAGAAGACTAAGAAGGGCCCTGGCCAACCTGAGGTTTGGTTTGTAAGTGCCAGGCTGTTAACTCACAGGCCTCTGGGCCTCAGTGAGGAGATAGCTTTGGACTGGGATTACTGATGGAAATCCTTTTTGGGTCACCCCAAACCATGTGTCTCTGCTGTCAGGGGCCTCTTCCCAAAGAAGCCTAGGCAGGATCTGTCTAATCCAAAGCTGTTTGCAAATGCCAAGCTGATAACTGACATCCCTCCACCCTGGCCTGTACTAGGTACTTAGCTCCAAAAAAGGAGCTGAGTTTGGGCTGGTATTACTAGGCAAAATCCTTTTTGGGTCATCCCAAACCAGAAATCCCTGCCACTGGTGGACTCCCTCAAAGAAGTCTGGACAGCCCCCTGCCTGACCTGAAGCATGTCTTGAGTGCCAACTGATAAGGTAGGTATACTGAGCCATATAAACTAATTTTGGGCCAGGAATATGGGGCAAACATCTTATTTGGGTTTCCCCAAAGCTAATTTCACCAGTGGGAGACTCTCCTAAAGTCTGACCTGGGTGCTGCCTGACCTGAAGCTTAATTTTCATGTGCCAGACTGCCAACTGATGTTCCTCCACTCAGGCCCCTGCCAGGTACGTAGACCTGAATAAGCAATTGGATTTGGGTTGGGATTATCTAGCACGATCCTTTTCAGATCACTCTAAAACAAATGTTTTTCAGGACGGCACAAAATCCTGAGCAGTGCATATGGAGACACTGAGCTGCCCACACACCAGTGTCCCCCTCTCAGGTGGGCTCCTTTAATCTAAGAAAAGGCAAATGCCAGTATGTTGGGACCAGGCTGGCTGCAGAAGCTGCCACAGTAAAGGAGAGCATCCATCTGTTCATCGGTCAGAGCTAGGCTAGCTGCTGACCAGAACTAAAGAGCCCAGCCTACGCAATCAAGGAGTGGACTTCAGTTGTACAATTTTTTGTCTGCATTTCCTCCACTGGGGTAAGACTAGGACCTGCCTCTAAGATGCTCTTCTGTATAAAGCCATTGGCACCCCAGAAGTTGCCAGGTAATTTAATAGCCACCCAGTGATAAGTCACAGGTCGTTCAGCCTACTTACTCTAAGTTACGGTAGCTGGTGAACCTGACCTTTATTAATGCCAGTACAGTGTCCTTCATTCCTGAGAGTGAGGCTTCGTATGCATTTAACAAGCTGTGGGCCCTTGCTAACATCCTTAATGTTTCTAAGACATTTATACAGCAACAACATGGTTTGGTACGCTGTACTCCCTAAGAGCTTTAGGGAACTCCTCTTCGGTGGCAGATGCATCTCCACATGCTTCCTTTTTTAATTCTTAAATTCCATCATAGCAATGTCAACTCAGTCTCGCCAAGCTTATGGAAACATACAAAATGGTTGCTAGTACTGCACCTTGCCCCAGCTACTTTGTAACTGCAGTGAGAAAACCTTTGTTTTGGCAAACTCTGATAAATGTGTGAATGTCTGATGTTCCTGTTGAATTAATCAGGACTGGTGACATGTTTTAACTAGCAATATTCCATCTACTTAAATACAAGAGACCTAAATACAGGATACAAGAAAAGGATTTTGGGGGCAAGGGAACAGGGTACTACCATCTCTGAAAAGCCACCGTCTGGTATTTGAGAAGGCATGGTTTGGTAATTTGATATAGAGCCAGATGTGCATATAGTTTTATTTCAATTTACTTAATGTCATCACAGCTTCAACATAACTCTGATACTACCAATTTACTTAATGTTGCGTATAGAAATCTCTGGTGGAAAAACCCAAGGATCAAATGCAGCCTGAAAAGGCTTCTTCCGGGGAGTGCCCCAGTGGTGGAGAGGTGAGGTTTGGGGTGACCAGAAAGGGATTTTGTCTGGAAACCCTCAGCTCCTTATTTGGTGCTGCTTACATAGCATGTAACCCTGGGTAGCGCTCAGCGGGCTGGCAGATGAAAACCAAGCTTCAGGTTACGCACCATCCTGCCCAGTTATTCAGAAGATCCCCCAGTTAGGGAGATATGTGGCTTGGGGTGACCCAAAGGGGGCTTTGCCCCATAATCCCAGCCCAAAATAAGATCTTTATTTGGCACAATGTACTTAGCATGCAGGCATTGAGGGGTGGGTGGCCAGTTGGCACTCAGAAACTGAGCATTGTCTCAAGCCCAGACTTCTTCTGGGGAGTCCCTGGTGATGGAGAGGATCCAAAAAGGGTTTTCCCCATAATCCCAGCTCAAAGTCAGCTCCTTATTCACAGGAACGTACACGGCACACAACCCCGGGGCCTGTTAGTTGTCAGGTTGGTGCTTACAAACTAAGTCAGCACTTGGCTTAGGCTTCCTTGGGAGAGTCCCCTGAGAGCAGAGGACTTCCACCTGTAATCCCAGCCCAAAGCCAGCTCCTAATTCAGTGCTATCTACACGGCCCACGGGCCTGGAGGGCACGGGTGGGCCGGTTGGCTGGCACACAGCAACTCAACCTCAGGTCGGGCAGTGCCCCCCTTTTTCAGAAGCATCCCAGGATTTTGCCCCGTATTCCCAACCTAATCTCAGGTCTTTTTTCTTTGCTACATACCATTCTTTTACACTTGAATGAGTAAATACACATTTTTGATGAAAACCCCACTCTTCAGAGGGTGTCATCTGTTACTAACAACCTTGAGCTGCGTGTGGAAGAGGAACCAGGAAGTGGGAATAAAGCAACCAAATTCAGCCCCGCGCTCATCCTGCTCCGGTCTGTCCG